AATGAAATTATAATCCAGGAAAAAAAAAGTTTTCTATTACCATCTTTTATTTTTTGCCTTCATTACAGTTTCATTTATTGGACTTAAAGCATTTTATAACTGGTTTATTCTGACTGCTTGACAACATTCTGGTGGCCTGGTGGCTAAAGCTCTCACTTCACATGGTGAATGTCCGGGTTCGATTCCCAACTAGGGTAGAAATATTGGGCGCGTTTCCTTACACCGGTTGTCTATGTTCCCTATCAGTAAAATGGCTACCTGGGTGTTAGTTGACCGGTGTGGGTCGCATCCTGGAACAAAACTGACCTAATTTGCCCGTAATGCTCTGCATAAGCGGCTTTCTATACAGTAATATGCCATTGACGTCGGCCAGGCCTGTATACCTTGTACATGTACTTGTAGATAATTATTATTATTATTACTGCACCTAAGTTATGAAATTTGCTGTTAAGACAATGGCTAAAAATACCAGGAGAAAACTAACCGTTTATAATCAACAGGAATTACGACTGATGCTTAGGAGAGCAAGCTGAAAAAATGAATGCTTGTGGTATTACTGATAAAAAGGGCTCCTGATCCTAGGAATTGGAGCTATCCTTTTCTTCACCAGACAGCTGAATATTCCAATTTTGGCCTTGTTTATATATTGTACACAACTTTTTCAGCATCTCTCCATCCATATAGTGAAAACTATTTTATAATTAGTCAGTGAATCATATGCATTTCTCACAATTTAATTTATTCTATATGATCTCTCGAAAATTTTTATTTAAAAACTCATAGATCACTACCTTCATATGATACTTCTAAAATTTTGTCACAATCTGTATTCTCACATTTTCATTACAGAGCATTTATCAACGTTAATTTCCATCATCCATCACTATTTACTAAAATGAAACAAATTGTAGAGTAAAAGATTTACAATAATTTTTGTTATACATTTATTTGGCAAAAGATTTTTGCAAATAAAATACATATACAGTGGAACCTCGGTTCCACTGTATGTCTGTTTTATTTGCAAAACAACTTAAAGGGAATAGACAGCTGTAGTACAGTGGAACCTCGGTTTTTGTATGCCCTAGTTTAAGTAAAACTATAGTTATTCTCTATAAAATGTATTTTTTTTAATATTTCCCATAAGAAATAATGTAAATCCAATTAATCCATTCCAGACACCCCAAAAATATTAAGAAAAAATACGTTTTATAAAGAATAACTATAGTTTTACATACAGACTACGGCACACAAAAAACGAGGTTCCATTGTACTACAGCTGTCTATTCCCTCTAAGCTGTTTATATAAGCATTAATTATAAACAATGGAGCACCTTACTTGTGTATTTTACTCAGGTATAAGCAATACTGCAGCTCAGGTCATGAAACTTAAACCTGTAAGTGTCATACAGCTCAGGGATTTGGGAACGAGTCAGGTCTGATCCAAGAAAGGGATGAGTAACTCACTCATTATATGAAGTCCTTAAGATGAAGGTACCTTCCCCATCAAATGATCAAACCAATGAAATTTCTCACTTTAAAACTAAAAGTCAAGAATTCCTACAAAATAAGATTAATGAACTCAAGTGATCCGGTCGAGTAGTATCAGTACAGGAAACATTCCTAGCAGTGTACAGACCACATACAAGCACACCCTGAACCTACTGAACAAAAACATCAACTCTACTGCTACCTATATGAAATCCTACAAAACGTTTTCCGTGAAAACCTGACTAGAACTGTCGTACAGCACTGAAAGTGCAAGAAATCAAAGCACAACTGCAAGGTTGGGTGCCTTAAATCTCATTATTACATTTGAAAAAAGTGCCAAATATATATCGTCCAATGTGCCTCCGAGTCTTGCCATGAAAGGACTGGATAGAGTTCAAAGGTTTTGTAGAGTAATTTTTTAATGGCTTGTAACGAGTTCTAATGGAACTTTTTTTAGAACTTGTGTGGTCATGAGTAGTTGGTGGCCGCCCACCCTGCTGGGCCCCACATGCACATGGTCGCTGGTGAAAGCAAACTAATTGCCCAATAACAGGGATGGCACTGGGCATCAACAGTACACTCAGTATACGCCCACTCTTATGCTTCTAACCGGCGATTACTGTGCAAAAAGTATATCGTATTTTTCGAGAATTTAGGTATTTATTGTCCCGCTTTCGTTTCAAAGAGAAATCATGCCATAATACATCGTTCAAGTTCAAGGTCATTACAGGAGACGATTTTGCTCCCCCGCATTACTAAACTCTTAATCTTTTGCGGGCCATCAATGGGCAAAATAATCTTCTGCATCAATCTGTCATCATTACATACAGAAACTCAAGATAGATTAGTAAAAAAAAAAAAAAGGTAAACTGAAGATTCTTTTCCTACGAAACGAGGATTCCTCCAACATTCGCTCAGTGCCAGCCAAGCCCCCCTCCCTCTTTTTACCATCATTATCTCAACAAGTATGCAATATTACCCCTTCCAGGGCACCTCACATTGTACGCCGGGCCTTGCCCTCCATACCTTGCTTAATAGTTGTGTGTTGAATGGTGAACTGCTTCTTATTTACTCCATTTTGTTGTTTAGTTCTGAGTGCCTCGTGTACGCCATATCAACACACAACTATAGAGGACCTCGCCTGCCAGCCATGCTAGACACCAGACGACCACCTTGCGCAATTAACATTATACAATGATTTACTTACTTTTATCCTCAATACAACTGCATAAAAGTAAAGTTAAACTTCCCGTCGTTTAACCTCACTCTGTGACTTTCATAATTAAAGCTGCCGTGGAGCAGCAATCAAGTAATCCAACAGTTTATGTAGGCAGTATTATATTCCCTCCCTCTCTCACTCTGGTTATTATAACTGTATTACAGTTAACTACACTCCCCCATTATGTATTATGCCTCCATGGTTCATTAATTAAGGCCTCTAAAGCCAAGAAATTAAATAATTCCCCAGTTTGTCCAAGTGAGTGGAAACAAGGGTAATGGAATTGAGATTGTGTAAGAAGAGTGGATCCTCCTGGCAGACATTCTGAACTACTTATGATCCTCCTCCCCTGCCGTAAACACCTTTGAATGAGGCACAAGTGGCCACCAATATATTACTGATTTTGTGAAAACTAAATCTGCTATGGCGGCTCTGCTGAAGAAGAGAGCACTGGCAGAATACTGCCAGACTATTGTGGTAAATTATAACTATACAGTGTAACTTGGTTTACCTTATCAACCTGTGCTAGCTTAGAGTAATTTATGGTCAAAAATCACTTCATATGTCCGCAAACTTACATTTTTAAACTTAGTTTTGACAATTATTAATGCATGTATATATTTTATTAATCCAGTGCAACGCCAGAGTTTCTGTAAGAGACATGAGGGACCTAACCAGCAGCTATATTCCTGAAGTTATCTCGCTTCCTCTTGATCAAATTTCCACTTCCCAGGCACAATGATCTGTTAGTAAGTAAGTTTATTCAGGTATACATAAATACAGTTACATAGAATTATCATACATAGCAGCATATGTGTAGAGAACCTAGGATAACCCAAAAAAGTCAGAGTGACTTATTTGGTAAAAGAAGAGAAGCTTTTGTTCGGATTTTTAACCCCGGAGAGAGTTAACTACCCAGGATAACTCAATTAAGTCTGTGCCTCATCGAGGACTGTGCCTTATTTCCACTTTGGTTCTTTAATCATGTCCTCCAGGATGCAACCCACACCAGGTAAACAATATCCAGGTACCTACTTACTGGTAGGTGAACAGAGACAGCAGGTGTAAGGAAACATACCCAATGTTTCACCTGCGACAGGGAGTTCTGGTCCCTCATTGTGTGACTTGGGTATGTTATTAATCAAGCTCACAATTAAGACTTAGATCGAACCTTGATCGGGAAGAGACATGAACAGGTCAGCCAGCTCCTGCTGCCCATGGTACCTGGCGGTAAAACTGGAATTTCTGAAAAAAAAAAAAATATATGGTGATACCGACATGATGTGGAAAAAGACACGTTTCCCATAATATATGTCCTGAACTACATAAGTGTCTTTCCACATCTGGGGTTTCTAATCCAAAGGTTAGCTCATTCTTTTTTGATCATAATAATAATCTAATCCAAAGAAAGTTTTTTTTTTCCATGTGACTTTTATTTAGTATTCAACAAATGCAAATACTAAATATAATACAAGATGTAAAATTATGGTAATACATAACCATCATTTCATGTAACATTAAAGTCGAATGCAATGATGTACAGTATTTTTTATTTGTAAAGAACTCGTGTAATTTAAATTAAAATAAAATTCAGTCATTCAAAATGTATCCCACCATCATCACTCAGTTTGGGAGACAAGCTATTAGTTATGGCTCAGAGATTTTACATTAATAATTCACAAATTGGATTGATAAATAGTATGGTGATGCTAACAAGATGTGGAAAAAGATTCCTTTGTACAGTTCAGAACTTTTATTAGAGAAAATGTTATCTCTGTATTAGGACTAAAGAAGCTGAACATGAACCATTTCCTCTAATAAATGTCCTGAACTGTACACAAGTGTCTTTCCATATAAATTGGATTACGTATTATAATATTCACATTAAAGCACTAAACCCGTACAAATCATAAATTGCCTGGGGAATAAAAATTTGATGCAAGGAAGAGGGACAATAAGTTACAAGAATAAAGTACTCAAAAATAAGGCAGGTACTAAAGCGAGTATTCCACCATTCATGTATTATCACTGCAATATCACCTATCATTGCAACCGTTTAACCTACGTCTTACGAGGTACCGTGTTTGACGTATATATACTCATAAATTCTAGCGGCTTCAAATCAAGCAGGAGAAAGCTGGTAGGCCCACATGTGAGAGAATGGGTCTGTGTGGTCAGTGTGTACCATATAAAAAAAATCCTGGAGCATGCAGTGCATAATGAGAAAAAAAAACTCCGAAAGTAAAATGCCTAGTTTGTGGTCTATTTTTGTATAGTATTTATGGTTGTATTCTTGTTTTCTTGGTCTCATTTGATAGAAGGGAAAACATCTTATGGAAATAGAGGTGATTTTGATTGATTTTACTATAAAAAGAACCTGGAAATGGAGCTCAAAGTAGGGGAAATGTTTGATTTTTGCCAATGTTCAAAAGTAAACAAATGATGTCATTGTCCAATAAATGCCCAACTAGCCATTCTAATATGCAGTCATGAATGGGTTGATGTTATTTATACAATTATTACAGTATTGCAGTAGTCTGCATAACAGTAAATCTTCTATTATTTGTTTGAATAAAAATTCAAAATAGAAAGCAAGAGTAATATCAGAGGGGCCTGGAGACATGACTGATGAACAAAGAAAATGTTATTTTAGAGCCAGGAATGTTTGCATTGTTCATTCTGGACCTTACTTTGAAATTGTCATATTTTTTAATTTTCGTGAAATTGGCCAAATTGCAAATTTCTGACCACGTTATTGGGCAGTTGAAATCGGTAAATGGGCAGTTTCTTGTACTCAATCGATAGAAAAAAAAGGAGTTCTAAAGAAAAAGCTATGAGTTTGGTCGACTGGAACAATGGAATTAGCCGAAAATAGGGCTCAAAGTGGGCGAAATCGCCAATTTGTAAATATCGCCGGGGTCGCTAACTTCGCGAGAGCGTAATTCCGTCAGTTTTCCATCAAATTTTGTGTTTTTGGTGTCATTACAATCGGGAAAAGATTCTCTATAATTTCATAAGAAAAAATATTTTTTTTTTTTAAATTTTGCGACACCAGGAGACACTTCAGGATTGGGGGTTGCGACAGTCAAGGGGTTAATAAACGTCTTAAACCCAAACTTTTAAGATAAGATATAAACAAATATGTGAAGAAGAGCAGGATGTGAGTGGGGGGGGGGAAGTGCATGAGACATTACTTAGAATGAAAGGGGGCAAAGCAGCTGGAACTGACGGGATTATGACAGAAATGTTAAAAGCAGGATGGGATATAGTGTTGGAGTGGTTGGTATTTTTGTTTAATAAATGTATGAAAGAGGGGAAGGTACCTAGGGATTGGCAAAGAGCGTGTATAGTTCCTTTATATGTTTACTGAATATGTTTACTGAGTATACCAGGAAAAGTGTACAGTAGGGTTATTATTGAAAGAATTAGAGGTAAGACAGAGAGTAGGATTGCGGATGAGCAAGGAGGCTTTAGAGTGGGTAGGGGATGTGTAGATCAAGTGTTTACATTGAAGCATGTATGTGAACAGTATTTAGATAAAGGTAGGGAAGTTTTCATTGCATTTATGGATTTAGAAAAGGTATATGATAGAGTGGATAGGGAAGCAATGTGGCAGATGTTGCAAGTATATGGAATAGGTAGTAAGTTGCTAAATGCTGTAAAGAGTTTTCATTTGGATAGTGAGGCTCAGGTTAGGGTGTGTAGAAGAGAGGGGGACTACTTCCCGGTAGAAGTGGATCTTAGACAGGGATGTGTAATGTCACCATGGTTGTTAAATATATTTATAGATGGGGGTTCCTTTGTATAAAGGCAAAGGGGACAAAAGAGAGTGCAAAAATTATAGGGGGATAAGTCTGTTGAGTATACCTGGTAAAGTGTATGGTAGAGTTATTATTGAAAGAATTAAGAGTAAGACTGAGAATAGGATAGCAGATGAACAAGGAGGCTTTAGGAAAGGTAGGGGATGTGTGGACCAGGTGTTTACAGTGAAACATATAAGTGAACAGTATTTAGATAAGGCTAAAGAGGTCTTTGTGGCATTTATGGATTTGGAAAAGGCGTATGACAGGGTGGATAGGGGGGCAATGTGGCAGATGTTGCAGGTGTATGGTGTAGGAGGTAGGTTACTGAAAGCAGTGAAGAGTTTTTATGAGGATAGTGAGGCTCAAGTTAGAGTATGTAGGAAGGAGGGAAATTATTTCCCGGTAAAAGTAGGCCTTAGACAGGGATGTGTGATGTCACCGTGGTTGTTTAATATATTTATAGATGGGGTTGTAAGAGAAGTAAATGTGAGGGTCTTGGCAAGATGTGTGGAGTTAAAAGATAAAGAATCACACATAAAGTGGGAGTTGTCACAGTTGCTCTTTGCTGATGACACTGTGCTCTTGGGAGATTCTGAAGAGAAGTTGCAGAGATTGGTGGATGAATTTGGTAGGGTGTGCAAAAGAAGAAAATTAAAAGTGAATACAGGAAAGAGTAAGGTTATGAGGGTAACAAAAAGATTAGGTGATGAAAGATTGGATATCAGATTGGAGGGAGAGAGTATGGAGGAGGTGAATGTATTCAGATATTTGGGAGTGGACGTGTCAGCGGATGGGTCTATGAAAGATGAGGTGAATCATAGAATTGATGAGGGGAAAAGGGTGAGCGGTGCACTTAGGAGTCTGTGGAGACAAAGAACTTTGTCCTTGGAGGCAAAGAGGGGAATGTATGAGAGTATAGTTTTACCAACGCTCTTATATGGGTGTGAAGCATGGGTGATGAATGTTGCAGCGAGGAGAAGGCTGGAGGCAGTGGAGATGTCATGTCTGAGGGCAATGTGTGGTGTGAATATAATGCAGAGAATTTGTAGTTTGGAAGTTAGGAGGAGGTGCGGGATTACCAAAACTGTTGTCCAGAGGGCTGAAGAAGGGTTGTTGAGGTGGTTCGGACATGTAGAGAGAATGGAGCGAAACAGAGTGACTTCAAGAGTGTATCAGTCTGTAGTGGAAGGAAGGCGGGGTAGGGGTCGGCCTAGGAAAGGTTGGAGGGAGAGGGTAAAGGAGGTTTTGTGTGCGAGGGGCTTGGACTTCCAGCAGGCATGCGTGAGCGTGTTTGATAGGAGTGAATGGAGACAAATGGTTTTTAATACTTGACGTGCTGTTGGAGTGTGAGCAAAGTAACATTTATGAAGGGGTTCAGGGAAACCGGCAGGCCGGACTTGAGTCCTGGAGATGGGAAGTACAGTGCCTGCACTCTGAAGGAGGGGTGTTAATGTTGCAGTTTAAAAACTGTAGTGTAAAGCACCCTTCTGGCAAGACAGTGATGGAGTGAATGATGGTGAAAGTTTTTCTTTTTCGGGCCACCCTGCCTTGGTGGGAATCGGACAGTGTGATAAAAAAAAAAAATGGGGTTGTAAAAGAAGTAAATGCTAGGGTGTTGGGGAGAGGGGTGGGATTAAATTATGGGGAATCAAATACAAAATGGGAATTGGCAGTTACTTTTTGCTGATGGTACTGTGCTTATGGGAGATTCTAAAGAAAAGTTGCAAAGGTTAGTGGACGAGTTTGGGAGGGTGTGTAAAGGTATAAAATTGAAAGTGAACATAGTTAAGATAAGGTGATGAAGGTATCAAATGATTTAGATACAGAAAAAATGGATATCTCATTGGAGAGAGGGATTATGGAAGAAGTGAATGTTTTCAGATATTTGGGAGTTGACGTGTCAGCGGATGGGTTTATGAAGGATGAGGTTAACCATAAAGTAGATGAAGGAAAAAGGTGAGTGGTGCATTGAGGTATATGTGGAGACAAAAAACTTACATTTTGAGGATAGGACACAGTAAGTATAGCTTTAATGAATTACAGTGGAACCTCAAAAATCGAACGTATCACATATTGAATGTTTCGAAAATAGGACCATTTTTTCGGACAAACTGTGTCCCTATTATCGAACGCGCCCCAATTTTCGGACCGCCGGGTACGGGACCTGTCTGCCGGCCCGCTCTGTCCGCATCCTCGCGCAGGCTCCGTGAGCAGTCTAGCTTTGTTTATGCTTGAGTGAACACTATCCTGCGCTCTCATTCACGCATTTTACGATTATTTCGTTGTGTTTAGTGCTTGTGGGACTGTGAAATAAGCTGCCATGGGCCCAAAGAAACTTGCTAGTGGTACCCTTGTGGTAAAGAAAGTGAGAAACACCATAGATGTGAAGAAGGAAATAATGCAGAAGTATGAGAGTGGTGTGAGACTTGTTGAGCTTGCAAGGATGTATGGGAAAAACAAGTCGGCCATCGGTTCTATCCTGTCAAAGAAAGAACAAATCAAGGAAGCTGATGTTACAAAAGGTGTTAATGTAGGGAGTGGATTAGGTGCCTTCTTCAAAGATTAAGGAGATTTGTGCTAAGTGGAATGATGTCCAAATGTTTGTGCAGAAGTACCACCCTGAGCAAGCTGAAACAAGCCATCTTTGCAACAAGTTCACTGACAGAACCATGTCCCATTTTAGGGAAATGTTAAAGAGGCGCCAGAAACAGAGGACTGTGGACAGTTATTTTGTGAGACAGGGGTCCAGTGACTCTCAAGCTGGTCCTAGTGGCATTAAAAGACAGAGAAGGGAAGTAACCCCAACGAGGGCTTTACCTGAAGTCCTCATGGAGGGGGATTCTCCTTCCAAACACTAACCCCATCTCCCTCCCTCCTCCTCCCTTTCTTCCAGATGCCATCACCAATCTTCAATAAAGGTAAGTAAAAATGTTATTTTATATGTATTACTATACATAATTAAAAACTATAGTATTTGTTGTATGTAAAACTGTAATTAATCTCTATAAAATGTATTTTTTGTGTGAATATTTTTGGGTTTCTGGAATGGATTAATTGTATTTCCATTATTTCTTATGGGAAATATTGCTTCGAATTTCAGACTTTTCGAATTTAGAACTAGCTCCTGGAATGGATTAAGTTCGATTTTTGAGGTTCCACTGTATAGGCTTCTGGTGAAGGTTTAATAGACATGAACCTATGCTATTGCTTGATATAGGTACTGTATTTTTTTTTCTAGGAGGAGGCTCCAAAACCAGCTAAGCGGTTGCAGTTAGTACGACGCACCCGTACAATTGACCACATCGAGTTTAGTGTTTCATCATTGGATACAACAGATCCACAACAACTTCTCCCAGTACTAGTGAACCTTCATCATTCTCTCCCCATTTCTGTAAGCAACTTCATTTATTTCTGTAATGTTTTTCTATCTATAAGTAAAATTGGGCAAGGATCTTGTAATAATCCCTTACTTTACAGCATATGACTTCACACAATTTTGCTTTCTGATTAAACTGATGAATTATGGAACAGATTTTTTTTAACAATCATCTGTATTCTTGTAGTAGCTCTCCTAGGTGACTTCTAAAAACCTAGATTCACTTTTTGTTTGATGATACTTATCCCAAAAAGATGTACATTAAAATATATACGCTACCAGAAATCAGTTTTTTAATTAAAAACTGAGAAAAAATAACTCCTTATTGAGAATTTGCTATAAAAACTCGCTTAACAGTAGAGCCCCAACTTATGAATGAGATGCATTCCTGGAAATCGTTCATTTTTGGATCTTAGAACCTCTATCCCTATAGACACCCATGTTATACTGAGAGAGATGTTTTCAGGTACAGTGGTACCTTGAATTTCGAACAGCTCCAACTCGAACATCATTCCTTATGGGAACAAATTTGTTCAGTAACGGCACTCGAAACAGCCTTCTGGAACGAATTGTGACCAAAACTCGAAGTACCACTGTGCTCCCGTGTACTATTCCATGTCTTTTCAACGAATCGGCCGTGTCCCACTGAGGCAGGGTGACCTAAAAAAGAAAAACAAAAGCTTTTCTTTTTAAATTTAGTAATTTCTTTCATATATACATGTTAATTAAACAATACATTAATAAATACTCTCTTTAAAGATCTTACAACACAGGGCACAGAATTTGCCTTGATTGTTGACCCTGTTTGCTCATTTGAAGGGATGTTTCTTGCTTATTTTAGATTGGCTTAATTAGATTAATTAAGGAGTAGGTGACTAAATTGGTTGAGGAGAATCTGGAATTATCTAACGATTTTCCATTTCACTTATCAAACCGTTGCATTTTTTGTTGGATATCATTCTATGTACCAATGCAGAGTCTTTAACGTCTGCCCTGCAGTACTGTGTGACTCTTATGAATTTAACACTTTCATGAAAATAATTCTGCAATTCATTAATGTAAACATTTCTTTCAGGGTGAGGCTCAGAGTGAAGCAGTGCAAGGACTGATGAAGTTGGTTCAAAATGACTCCCATCCTCCTATCATCACCACCAAAGTGCTTTCTCTCCTGGCCAACATCATCACTACACATGCACAGGCACAGGTCCACACACACACACACACACATACACAGTCACACATACCTATAACTTTTTGACTTTTAAATAAACTGTTTGTGGTATATGGCATGTCTATAATAATTGAATTCTTTATTATTTTTATGATTCTCTTTTATTAGCACATTTTGTATCTATATTTTTGATGCTGTTCCTTTTAAAAAACTATTTTTGGGTAATCATGTATAGACTCCTTCCTGGGCATTTCAGAATCTTCTAACTCCTGTAAACACTTCAAGGAACATCTGAAATATCAAGACTTTTATGGGAGAAAACATCTTTCTGTTGCACCTCGCATCCAAATTATATATTCAGGATTGGCAATGTTGCACAATATTATACAATGCTTATCATTTCCCACTTTTTGGTTGGGATGCCTTTTTGGAGAGAAACCTTGACTATAATTTGTAGCAAATAACTGAGTTCTCCCTATTCCTTTAGGATCGGGGTTATTACTTTTTTCTGTCCTAATACCATTTCTCAGTACCTGTATTTAACAGTAGTGTCATTACTTCCTAACTTGCATATTTAGTATTTTCCACATATGGTATCTTTGTGTACCAGATAACCACACAATTGATTAGAAACCAATCTGTACTTAGTGGTTGGAGGATCGAGCCGCCAGCACTCCTTTTGGTACATAGAATGATTCTCGTGGATTTAATGCTTAATGAAATTCATGTATACATTCATGATATTCTAATACTTAAAAAGATTGTCTCTAAATTTCAGCCTGTTTTTGAAGAAGTATTAGGTGTGACCCGTAGAAACAAGTCTCAGAAAGTGATTGCACAAGGGGTTCAAACTGCCTGTGCCTTGTCTCAGTGTATTCCCCAAGACCCTAAGTTACAGGACCAAGTTATCCAATTAGCACTTTCGCAGTTAAGCAACTCAAGCTATATCATAAAGGTTAGTGTTTGCATATTACTACTGTACATGTGTATTTCACAGGCAAGCTAATTTATCTTGTTGTATTGGGAGCTTCCTAATAAGCTTAAATTGAAAATTAATACAAATTTAGTAAATACGAATAGTAAATTCATATTTACTAAATTGGACACAACACATGAGCCCTATTAAACTGATGTTACCAGGGCCAGGAGCTTTCCAAAAAAATTATTAATTTTTTTACTCTCTTTCAAAAGAATATTGTACATAGTCTGTGATATATAGTACTGTTGATATAGATTAATCCTTTCAGTGGCTGTCGCATAGACTCTCCTCAATGTGGTGCATGTGTCAGCATAGTTGCTGATCCCCTGTATATGTATATGTTATCTGAGTATCATAGTACCGAGTATCATAGGCTCAGTGGCTACCATGTATGATGTCACGTGATGCCGCATGTGAGCGTTGGGCTCCCTGCCTCTTCCTCACTACACGCATAGACTTAAAGGCGACAGGACAGGCAGGTATAGCATAGTATGGTATGTCGAGACGGCATACGTAACATGACCGAGCTGTCAGAATATAGAAGTGTTACCACCCAACAAGTGTGTTTAACTCCAACCATCATATCTCCATGAATCCTCTCAACAGAAAAGCAAAATTCTGACAATGTGTTTGGTTTAAGATAGCGACTTCGAGGTGTTTTCTAGGATAGTTTTATTGGCAGTTTCTTAGCATCATTTGATAGAATAGAAAACATACTACTGAAATAAAGATAATTTTGGTTGATTTCAGGACCAGAAGTAGCATGAAATTAGGCTCAAAGTAGTGGAAATATTTGATTTTTGCCAATTTTCCTGAGGACAGGTATGGCCCCTTACACCCTTCGGTCTGTTTTATGGGTTTTTAATAGGTTTGATTACTTATTGGGATGCCGTAAACCATGACCAATCATTCCTGGCTGTATTTTATTATCTGGGAAATAGAGTGAATCTTCTGTTTTTTGTGTAATTATAAATTCAAAATAGAAGTCAAATGTAATGCAGGAGAGGCCTGGAGGCATGATTAATGAACACAGGAAATGTTATTTTAGTGCCAGGAATGTCTATAGTGTTTATTTTGCACTCTTTTTAAATTGGTAGTTTTTAATTTTGTGTAAAATTGGCCAAATTCCCAAACTTCTGTGCACTTAAAGAAGGGGTGAGGATGTTGCAGTTCAAAAGGTCATATGAGCTGTGATGTCTGCATACATCTGGCAAGACAGTGATTGAATGAATGATGGCAAAAGCGTTTCTTCTTTATTTTGTCACCTTTCCTGAGTGGGAGACTGTTGGTGTGCTTAAGATTCAAGGTAAATCTGAGGAAGTCTCAAAACCATTATTAATAAGAAAAGGTAGAAATATAAAATCTTTATATTATTTGACCTCATGAAGTTTTCTTATTTTTGTAACAATCACAGTCTGGACAAAAGAAGTATTTTACTGAAAGTCTGTTATGCCTGCTTTTCAACAACCAGATCTAGGTAATGAAAAATGCTGAAAACAAATGTACTTAGTACAGTATAATTGTTTAGGAACATCATAATTATTTATATTTTTTTATAAATTTCATGAAATGCTTGACTCTGCAGGTGCGGTCATTAGAAGCAGTTGGAAGCTTGTGTCCTGTGGAAAGCGGTCGTGTGCAGTCTGCTATAATGACAACTCTTATTGAACACACCTCACACCAGGACAACAGAGTCAGGACTGCTGCCTTCAATTCATTAGTTAGTATTTTTTGTTGTTGTTTATCGGTGGTCATTTTAATTACTGTTATTTCATTAATCATTGTAAACCTTTGTCTTAAGTGAATGTTTTTGTTTTATTGTAATATCTGTGATATTACAATGCCTGCACTTTAAAGGAGGGGTTTGAAATATTGGCAGTATGGAGGGATATGTTATATATCTTTATATATGCTTCTAAACTGTTGTACCTGGGCATCTCTGCAAAGACAGTGATTATGTATGAGTGAGGTGAAAGTGTTGAATGATGATGAAAGTGTTTTCTTTTTGGGGATTTTCTTTCTTTTTGGGTCACCCTGCTTTGGTGGGAGACTGCTGACTTGTTAAAAAAAAAAATCTGTGATACTAAGAAAATAGTTTTATCCAGTGCAGTGGCATTTATGATAAAAATAATTGTTTTCAGTACAATACTTCAGTATTACCACGAGTGTTTTGTGGTGCTCTATTCAGTTTTTTAACCCATTCTCAGTCTCTTACATAGATCTATGTCATTGGTGCCAGCAGTGCTCGCAAAGATTTGTGTTTTGAGCTCAGCTTCTTCAGATAAGCTGTGAGCGGTAAATTTTGACCTAGATATGAGAGAATGGGTCTGTGTGGTGACTGTGATGTAAAAATAAAAACAAAAAATCCTGCCCTACACAGTGCATGATGTAAAAAGCAAACCTCTGACCTTGTGCTTGGTTTAAAATAGTGACTTTGAGGTTTTTTCTAGGGTTTCTAGATGGTTTTTATGGTTTTATTGGCTGTTTCTTGATGTCGTTGATAGAATAGAAGATGTACCTCAGAATAAACTTATGCCAGCTGTAAAGGCTGGGTGTACTCACCTATTTGTACTTGCCTCTTGCAGGGGTTGATTCTCATGTTCTGACCCCACCACTTAAATTACCACATGCCAGATTTAATCCCTCGTAGTCTGGTGGGCTCTATCGTACTTGCTCTTAAAACTGTGTATGGAGTGTACCCCCTCCACTTCCTCATTGAGATCATTCCACTCCCTGACCACTCTTGAGACCAAAGAAGCACTTCCAAATACAGAAATACTTCTGTGTCTGTAGCTTCCAGCTGTTTTCCTGAGTTCTTGTTTCTTGCCTTGCAGACAGCCTGCCCCTGTCTACTCTATAATTATCTGGTTTTTCTGTCCTCCAAAGTCATTAAATTAGCCTCTTCTCATTGCTCATGCTGATAGCTCAGGAATAAGCCTTGTTACATGCTTCTGCATTTTCTCCATTTTCCGAATGTGCTTTTTCAAGTGATGGTAATCATATTCCGGTATACTACTGTAGAATTAAGGAAATTTTTGTGTAAAAATTAGTACTCTCTACAGGTTGATTGTATTGTCATTTTGTATATCACAGCTCTATTTTGTCAGTGGAAGGGTTTATGAAGGATGAAGTTAACCATAGAATTGATAAAGTAAAAAAGGTGAATGGTGCATTGAGGTATCTGTGGAGAAAAAAAAAACTTCATCCATGGAGGCAAAGAAGGGAATGTTCGAAAGTATAGTGGTACAAACACTCTTATATGGGTGTGAAGCTTTGGTTGTGAATGCTGCAGCGAGGAGGCGGCTGGAGGCAGTGGAGATGTCCTGTCTAAGGGCAGTATGTGGTGCAAATATTATGCAGAGAATTCGTAGTGTGGAAATTAGGAGGAGGTGTGGAGTTACTGAAAGTATTAGTCAGAGGGCTGGCGAGGGGTTGTTGAGATGGTTTGGTCATTTAGAGAGAATGGAACAAAGTAGAATGACTTTGAGAACATATAAATCTGTAAGGGAAGGATGGCAGGGTAGGGGTCATCTTTCAAAAGGTTGGAGGTAGGGGGTAAAGGAGGTTTTGTGGGCGAGGGGCTTGGATTTCTAGCAAGCATGCATGAGTATGTTTGGAATGAATGGAGATGAATGGTTTTTGAGACCTGACAAGCTGTTGGAGTGTGAGTGGGGTAATATTTTGTGAAGGTATTCAGGGAAACCGGTTAGTCGGACTTGAGTCCCAGAAATGGGAAGTACAATGCCTGCACTTTAAAGGAGGGGTTTAGGATATTGGCAATTTGGAGTGACTATCTAAACTGTCATATCTGGGTGCCTTTGCAAAGACAGTGATTGTGTATGAGTGATGGTGAAAGTGTTGGATGATAATGAAAGTTTTTTCTTTCTTTTTGGGCTTTTCTTTCTTTTGGATCACCCTGCCTTGGTGGGAAATGGCGGAGGTGTTAAAAAAAAAAAAAAAGAGGCTTCAGCATCTAGTATGTATTTGTGAGCTTGAGTGGAGTGGATTTGTTGCGCTGTTGAAATGTGAGCATGGTAGTTCTGTACATAAAACAGGGATTAAGGAAAACCAGTTAGCCGATCTTAAGGTTAGGAGGCAAGAGGTTCACAGCCTTCACTTTGAAAGCTATATGGCAATATTGTGGTCAGGTGGGAAGGACAGCTCAAATGTTAGTGACAATGATAATGTGTTTTCTGTGTCACCTGTCTTGAGGAGAATTAAATGATGTTCTGTAAAACTGGATATCAAAAATTTGCCATTTAATAATTTTTTTTCTAATAGCTGGCTGTGCAAGATAAGGCAGTGAAGCTTCCTCCAGAAGTATATGACAGTGCATGCCAGGCACTTACTGATGATTACCAGTGTGTTCGAGAAGCGGCCCTTCTTCTTGTAAAGGTAGGTTATTCTAATTCTTTAACCACTGTATAAATTGGACAGTGTACAGTATATATTATTTTGGGAGGGAGGGGTAAGTTGCAGGGTATAGTGGTTAAGTGATGAAGAAAGAGGGATTGTGTTTGAGAGGGATTGGGGCAGTATGTAAATGTATTGTAGCAAGGGTGAAGGAGTTTGGCTGGGTAATGCTTTGGAAAAAATTGCATTTGTAAGTGGGAGTGAAGACTGGCTAAACAGCAAAATAAGGAGGGGGGAATGTTCTTGTGGTTGCTTTATAAGAAGTAAATTGGATACATATACTACCTGAAATGTGAGTCTTGTCTGTGAATTAATACCCTGTTCTTCCTCCACTGCTTAATTTTTTTTATTTTCATAAAAGGAAATGAAAATAAATAAAGCTTTTTTTTTTTAACACATTGGCCATTTTTCACTGAGGCAGGATGACAAAAAAAAAAAGAAAGAAAAACCCCAAAAGAAAAAAAATGCTTTCATCATCCTTCAACACTTTCACCATCACTCATACATAATCACTGTGTTTGCAGAGGCGCTCAGATACGACAGTTTAGAAGTCCCTCCAAGCTGCCAGTGTCCCAAACCCCTCCTTTAAAGTGCAGGACTCAAGTCTGGCTAACTGGTTTCCCTGAACCCCTTCACAAAATATTACCCTGCTCACACTCCAACAGCTCGTCAGGTCCCAAAAACCATTCGTCTCCATTCACTCATATCTAACATGCCATCTCAGTATACTGTAGCCAGCCCACTCCTATACCTATAAACTTTCCCAAATGCTAATCAATTTACACCTTTGGCATACAAAGACTCAAGGTTTGTAAATGGACATATATGCTGATTGTAACGCACTTGCTAAATTAAGGATATGTTTTACCCACCAGGAGGTTTATCAGTCTGGTACAGAGAATGAGTAAGGCAGTATAAATAGTGATGTATATCAGATATTGTGGGAGAAAAGGCAAGATTAAATGATGGCCTCATTTTGCTTGGCTAGAATGTGTCGTGTGAGGGCTTAAGAAATAATGGAGTTTCCATTATATTGAGCTATGGTGTTAGTGATAGCAATAAGTGAAGATTGGCTGCTTTAGTGACTAGAATGCATATGGTATTTATTTTAGATTCATTTTTAAATTGCAATTTGTTGAATATTGTGTAAAATTGGCCAAATTACTTAATGTTATGCACTTTATAGGGTGGTTTTGATGGTTGAATGAGTGGTTGCTTGTGCTCTGTCAATAGAACAGAAGGCAAACTAGTAGATAGCTAAGAATTTTTCAAATTGAGCAATGAAACTCATCGTGGGCAGAAATCGCAGGTGCACCCAGACCATCATCTTTTTGCCTGTGTAATTCCTTGAATTTGTTATCAAATTTTGTATTTTTAGTGTCACTGCCTGTAGAAAAAATTCATCTATTTCCGACAATTTTTTTTTAGTTCTCAACATTTTAAGCACTTTTAATTTCATTGGTCCTGACTAAGAAAAGGCTAAAATGTCTTAAATTTGTATATGGAGAAGAGTGCATTAGCTACATTTGTTATCCATTGATGTGCATTTAATTAAAAAATTTCTATAGATTAGTTACCCACTTAACAAGCATGATCACTAATTAAATCTGGTATTATACAGGTGGCAGCAGACAGTGATCCAGAACGATTAGTCCCCATCCCTGACAGTGACCACCATGTGCGCTTAGTTGACAATGCCTTCTCACAAATCTGTAATGTTGTTAATGACATTAGCGTAAGAGTGAGAACGCAGGCTGCTTCACTGCTGGGCAACATGACAAATGTTTCTGAGAGGTTCTTGCAGCAGACTCTGGACAAGAAGCTCATGTCCAATATGAGAGTAAGATTATTTAATAATTATTTTTTTAAACACCAATCTTCTCCCACCAAGGTACGGTGATCCAAAAAAAGAAACATTCACTCCATCACCATCTTAACAGAGGCTCGCCATTACTACAGTGCAGATGCCCCTCCAGACTGCAAATATCCCCACCCCTTCTTCAGAATGCAAGCACTGTAGTTCCCACCTCCAGGATTCAAGGCAGGCTAACCAGTTGCCCTGAGTCCCTTCATAAGATGTTACCTTTCTCACACACCAACAGTTCATCAAGTCCTTAAAACCATTAGCCTCCACTCTCCTATCTAACATGCTCTCACATGCCTGTTCAGTGTCCAAGCCCCTTGCATGCAAAAACCTTCTTTACCCTCTCCCTCCAACTTTTCCTAGGACAATCCCTACCTCTCCTTCCCTCCACTATAGATTTATACGCATTCCAAATCATCCTATTTTGCTCCATCCTCTTTAACCCTTTGAGGGTCCATCTCGTAGTTCTACGGCTTTGAAGCCAGGGTCCAAACCGTAGTACTACAGTGGTCCCTCAATAATCGTCCGGCCTGAAAGTCGTCCATTTCGGAAATAGTCCTGTTTTTTCATCAAAATATTGGCTCGCAAATGGTCCGGTAACTCGCTAATAGTCCTAATAGTCCTTCGTCCCGGACACATACTCACACTCTGAGCCGCCTCGGCCTTTCCTTCCCAGCCAGTGTGCCATTGTTTACCAGTGAGTGACGGTCCCCTCACATGCTCCTACGAAATATTTCATAATATTCCATTGATTTTAGTGCTTGCAAGTGCTAAATAACCTACCATGGCTTCAAATAAAGCTTCTAGTGCCAGCCCTTTGGTAAAGAATGTGAGAAACACATAATTTATGAAAAAGTTTGTAGAAAAATACAAAGATGGTGGTGGTAGAGTGGAAGTAGTTGTGATAGTGGTTGATGAACATAAGAAAGGAGGATCACTGCAGCAGGCCTGTTGGCCCATGCTCGGCAGGTCCTTTACAATTCATCCCACTAACAAAACATTTTCCCAACCGAGTCCTCAATGCTACCCAAGAAATAAGCTCTGATAACTCTATCCACTCATTTGCAAGTCCCAAATGAGTGGATAGAGTTATCAGAGCTTATTTCTTGGGTAGCATTAAGGACTGAGTTGGGAAAATGTTTCGTTAATGGGATGAATTGTAAATGACCTGCCAAGCATGGGCCAACAGGCCTGCTGCAGTGATCCTCCTTTCTTATGTTCATCAACCACTATCACAACTAAGAGGAAATGGTATGATGATACCGACAAGATGTGGAAAAAGACACTTCTTCAGTCCTGAAGAAGCCACCATTTTAATGTTGGAGTTATATAGGGCTACAAAAACCACCGCCGCCTCAGCTGCTGTTTCACCACCATTATGGACGGCTTACGCTCAGTGGCCCTTATATACCCAACAACAACACAACACAACACCTCTCATGACATATGTAATGACTTATTTTATTCATTCTAGAGTATATTCCATGTTTCTATGTTATTAATATTGTTTATTATGTCATATTAGTTGAATTGTGATAGATAAATAAGCCATAGAGTTGATATTAGTGTCATATTCTCCAACAATAAACTTGCCATCCCTCCTTCACACAAAAATAGCCAATAAGAACATAACAATGGAAGAACACTGCAGGTCTACTGGCCCATACAAGGCAGGTCCTTATCAAAATGACCTCCACCCAAAGCTACCCAAGAATTTACTCTCGTACCCAATGACAAATCAAACTCAGCTCCTCCAACTCATATATTTGTCCAATCTCTCCTGAAAGCTACCCAAGGTCCTAGCCTCGATCACCCTACTGGTAAGTGTGATGTTAAATAAGAACTTAAAAAAGTAGGAACACTGAAACAGGCCTGCTGGCCCATACTAGGCCGATCCTTCACAAATCCAACCCACTAACAGAACAAATGCTACCCAAGCAATAAGCTCAGGTGCAAGTCTGACTCAAATCCAACCCCTCTCACTCGTGTATTTATCCAACCTAAATTTGAAACTACCCAATGTTTTAGCTTCGATCACCCTACTAGGCAGACCGTTCCACTCATCAACTACCCCTATTACCATAAGAACATAAGAAAGGAGGATCACTGCAACAGGCCTGCTGGCCCTTACTAGGCAGGTCCTTTACAATTCATCCCATTAACATAACATTTGCCCAACCCAATTTTCAATGCTACCCAAGAAATAAGCTCTGATGCGCAAGTCCCACTCAAATCCAACCCTTCTCACTCATAAGAACATAAGAAAGGAGGATCACTGCAGCAGGCCTGTTGGTCCATACTAGGCAGGTATGTTCATTTATACATTTTATTAGTGCCCTAGAGTCCTTATGGAGGGGGATTCCCCTTCCAAATAACCTCTCTTCCCTCTCTCCTCCTCCATGTCTTCCATTCATCAACAACAGCCTTCAATAAAGGTAACTGTCATGTTGAATGTTCATTCTTTTGTGCATGTAAATCTATCTTTTAGGCAAAAAAAAATTGTTGTTGATACTTCTGGGTGTCTGGAACGAATTAATTGGATTTACATTATTTCTTATGGGAAAAATTGATTCGAAAATCGTCCATTTCGATAATAGTCCCACTTCCAGGAACGGATTATGGACGATTATTGAGGGACCACTGTACGTCACGAGCTCAGCTTACTTAGATAAGCTGTGAGCGGTAAATTTGGGCCTAGATATGAGAGAGTGCATCTATGTGGTAAGTGTGCACCATAGAAAACAAATCCCCCAGCATGCAGGATTTATTTCACATTTGTGACAGTGTTTTTGGATTAGAACAGCGACTTTGTGGTGTATTTTCATGTGGTTTTTATGGTTGTATTTGCGGTTTCTTCATCTCATTTGAAAAATTAGATATGATTTTGATTGGTTTTAGCGCTGAAAATAGCTTGAAATTGAGCTCAAAGTAGTGGAGATGTTTGATTTTTGCTGATATTCAAGAGTAAACAAATCACATCACACGTCCAATACACATCAGCTGGTGAGTCTGATGTGCGTTCACGAATGCGCTGATATTATTTATACAATTATTACAATATTGTGTAACAGTAAATCTTCTATTGTTTGGTGTGAATAAAAGTTCTTTATATGAATAAAAAATAAAAATGGAATTCATCTGTAAAACCTGGAAACATAACTAATAAACAGAGGAAATGTTATTTTAGTGCCAAGAATGCCTGCATTGTTTATTCTGGACCCTCCTGAAATTGGAGTATTTTGAACTGTGTGTGAAATTGGCCAAATTGCCAATTTCCAATCACTTTATTGAGTAGTTGAAATAGTTGATTGGGTGATTTCTTGTGTTCAGTAGATAAAGTGGAACACATACTAGCAAAATAGCTAAGAATTTGGTCTATTGGAAGAATGTAATTGGTCAAAAATAGGTTTCAATTTGGGCAAAATTGCCAATGCTTAAATATCACTGACACAGTAAAATTCACAAGCATAATTTTGTCAATTTTCATACTTTTTGTTTTATTACCTTCAGAAAAAGATTCTCTACCATTTCAAAAGGGGAAAAAAAAAATTTTCTTGAAAAATCTTGGATCCTGTGGGGAATTTTCAGATTGGGGGTCTGGACTCTCAATGGGTTAAACATCCAGACCACCTCAATAACCTCTTCTCAGCCACTTTCTAATCTCAAAACTACGAATTCTCTGCATAATATTCACTCCACGCATTGGCCTCAGACACAACTCTGCCTCTAGCCTCCTCCTCACTGCAATGTTTAAAACTCATGTGATTATGTGTGAGTGAGGTAAAAGTGTTGAATGATGATGAAAGTATTTTCATTTGGGGGATTTTCTTTTTGGGTCACCCTGCCTCGGTGGGAGACGGCCAACTTGTTAAAAAAAAAAAAAAAAAAAACTTCACATCCATATAAGAGTGTTGGTACCAGTATGCCTTGAGACATTTCCCATTTTGCCTCCATGGATAACATTCTCTGTCTCCCTATTTAATCACTCTTGACATATTTTTTGGAAACTTGGAGTATGTAAACATTTTGATGCCTGGATAGTTAAAGATACTTTAAAAGATTTCCTGATATATAGGTTATGTCTCTAATTATAGTTGGAAAAGAGATTAGAATTTTTAAATTGAATACAACTCTTGCATGATAAACTCAACATTTTAGTAAAGCAAGATTTTTTTTTCCAATGCTTAACATTTAGATATTCTTAATAAGTACTTTTAGCTATGGAAGAGGCTTCAATATAAATTGATATTTAGTTTTAAATTATAATTCCCTGTCACCTTGGCAGAAATCTGTTTTTATGGTCATGTGCATAAACTTTCAGAGGAAAAGGTCAGCTCATGAACGTGCTCGAGCAATGGTGTCTTCTGGAGAATGGTCATCTGGCAAACGATGGGCAGATGATGCCCCTAAGGAAGAAGTGGAAGCAGAATCTGTGTCTGTTATTAATACTGGTTCTTGTGGAGCTTTTGTACATGGTTTAGAAGATGAGTTCTTGGGTAAGATATTGAGGTAGCAGAAATACTTTATTTTATGAACATCTGAACTGTCATATCAGTGTGCCTCTGCAAAGACAGTGATTATGTGTGAATGATGGTGAAAGGGTTTCTTTCATTTTTGGGTCACCCTGTCTCAGTGGGAGACGGCCAGCATGTTGAAAATAAAAATCTTATTAAGACACATAATTATATAAAAAATGGTAGAAGTATGCTGTAATGCTACTGGCATTGATAACTAGTGAAACAGTAATAATAAAATTAAAAAAGTGTAAGCAAAGAGTTATGTGAGCATGAACTGAAATCTTCTATATGTAGTAACAAGCAAACTTGTTACCCCTGCATTTCTGAGGGTATGAAAGAAGCAGAATAAAAATTTGCCTAGTTTGTGCCTATTTAACTTCTTTACACATTTTTTTATGTTTACAATAGTTTGAAATCTTGATTTGCATTGATGTAAGTGAAGGCTGTATGGATTAAAAATTTACCTTATAACCTGAATGAAGCCGAGATGTGTGCATAAAGCTATTTAGGATATCAGTAGAGGCTAATTATGAGAAGACTTGGTTTGCTTCTTCTTACGTTCTTTTTAGGTGAGTGTTTGCACTATCAAAGCATTTTACCAGTCTAGGAATACATGGTCAGCCTATCCCTTTTCTTGTCTATCTCTGTTTATTATAGATTTGTGTTTATTATAGGTTTGTAAGATAAAAACTTTTATTTATGAATCCAAGCTGGTATTTGTGATGAATATAGCATTTTCAAATTGTTCAAGTTTCTGTCATTTTATATTATAATCATTGCATGTAATTCAGGGCTTCCTGCCTGTCACTTCTCTTGGATACTGTATTATGTTTACTGCCTTCCATTCACCTGGACACTTAATCAGTCATTAATGATTTGTGAAAGATCTTTAATGACTAAGTGTGTGTAATATTTCAGCTTTTCGTAATATCCATAATGATGCTTCATCTGGTCCTGATGTTTTATGTGTTAAATTTCTTTGGGAGTTCTTTGCTCTTGTGTTAAAGCGTGCAGTACTTTATATGCATAAATGTATAGCCCTTAAACTATATAATACTGAGGATTTTTTGTGTTTCAGAGGTACGGAATGCAGCCCTTGATTCTATCTGTGCCCTTGCTCTTAATAATGAGCAGTTTGCCAACCAGTCCCTTGATTTTCTTGTTGATATGTTCAACGATGAAATTGAGGAAGTTCGTCTTAAAGCTATTCAGGTATAATTTTTATGATATAAATATTAGTACTTGTGTACAATGCCTGCACTTTCAAGGAGTTTGGGATATTGGCTGTTTGGAGTGACAACTAAGCTGTCGTATCTGAGCGCCTCTGTAAAGACAGTGATTATGTGTGAACGATGGTGAGTGTTGAATGTTAGTGAAAGCATTTCTTTTTTGGGGATCACCTTGCCTCAGTGAGAGAGGGCCAACGTGTGGAAAGAAAAAAGTTAGAAAATTTTATTTATTTATATTTAAGAGCATTTGCTATAATTAAGGAATCTGACATAAGCACTAGTCCCAAGGAATTTTAAAAAGATATGGAAAACATGTTTACTCACTCTTCACCGAGACTGGATTTGTGGTTTCCTTATTTGATTTTTCTGGGAGTAGAAAAACCAAAACTCATAAACAGTTTTGAGGTAAGTTGCCCTGTTTCTTATGGGAAAAAGTGTACAGGGTGCAGATAATAACATGAAATTATACGCTTGTCATGGCATAACAATTATACATTCCTTGTGCTCCCTTTCCGCTGTTGACTAGGATAGCTTTTTTTTTTTCTCTCAACACATCAGCTGTCTCCCACCAAGGCAGGGTGACCCAAAAAAAAAGAAACACTTTCACCATCATTCACATATAATCACTGTGGGATATATGCATGATTTTTTTTTTTTTTTTTTTACTGTTCATATTTATATGTATTGGTATTCCATATTTATGCAATAAAGACAAAATTTTCACTTGATTAAAGAGTATCTTTCGTACAAAATAGTAGAATATTTCAGAATGGGTAAAGTTCCAAAATTTAGCATTGGTATTTTATTATTTCTAAGGGATTTTATGGGAGTTCATTACTACAGGTTTTACAACAAGTAGCTGCTCACATCACTCTCCGAGCTGACCAGTTAGAAGAGATTCTTCATGCCTTAAAAGATACTTCTTTAGACATTCGTGAGTGTCTACATACTTTCTTGGGCACTACCATTCTCTCAACTATAGCATGTGTCAAACTGTGTGTCACAGGATTGCTTGATAATCTCCGCAGATACCCACAGGTAAGTCATTATCCCTCATAACTAAAAAATACGACAATAATTACAAAAATAAGCAGATAAAGTTGGTAGACAGCACCCACCCAGGGAGGTACTACCATCCTGCCAGGTGAGTGTAAAATGGAAACCTGTAATTGTTTTACATGATGGTAGGATTGCTGGTGTCTTTTTTCTGTTTCATAAACATGCAAGATTTCAGGTATGTCTTGCTACTTCTACTTACACTTAGGTCACACTACACATACATGTACAAGCATATATATACACACCCCTCTGGGTTTTCTTCTATTTTCTTTCTTGTTCTTGTTTATTTCCTCTTATCTCCATGGGGAAGTGGAACAGAATTCTTCCTCCGTAAGCCATGCGTGTTGTAAGAGGCGACTAAAATGCTGGGAGCAAGGGGCTAGTAACCCCTTTTGTATAAATTACTAAATTTAAAAAGAGAAACTTGTTTTTCTTTTTGGGCCACCCTGCCTCGGTGGGATGCGGCCAGTTTGTTGAAAAAAGAAAAGGAAGAGGATTGCTGGTATCTTTTTTCTGTCTCGTAAACATGCAAGGTACATTTTGCTACTTTTACTTACACTTAGGTCACATAACACTTACATGTACAAGCATAAATATATACACACCCCTCTGGGTTTTCTTCTATTTTCTTACCAGTTCTTGTTCTTGTTTATTTTCTCCTATCCATAGGGAAGTGGAACAGAATTCTTCCTTCGTAAGCCATGCGTGTCGTAAGAGGCGACTAACATGCCGGGAGCAAGGGGCTAGTAACCCTTTCTCCTGTATACATTACTAAATTTATAAAGAGAAACTTTCATTCTTCTTTTGGGCAACCCTGCTTTGGTGGGATACAGCTGGTGCGTTGAAAGAAGATATATATACTCAATGGCCACTGGCCTCAGTGACATATATTTACTTAGTAGACAGTGAAAGGGTTAATTGGAAACTTCAGCATCCACCATTAAGAAATATATTGACAAAATCTACTTGTCATGCATTCAAGTATAATTATAAATTATAAGGATCAAGTTTAAACCCCTCTCTCCTTCCTTATGGCTAAGAACAAATTTTTCAGGACCGACGCAGTATTCATCGATGTCTTCGCCGCCTAGGATCAAACCATCCTATTTTAGTACAAGCTTTAGTGCCTCAGTTGCTTGTCATACATCCTTATTTTGATGGCGTTGAGCCCAGTGTACAGGATGGAGAATACATTTGTAAGGTAAACTGAATCATTCATATGTAAGCAGTGTATCACAGGAGGAGACTTTTTAAGAACTTTTTTAAACCTTAAATAAAAGAGCTTGAAAAAGATAACAAATACTAGTCTTTGCGCACCAAAACCAATTCTGTACATGTTTTCTACTTTCTACAAAATTTTAAGACCTTTGGGATTGCACAGTGTTTTGCCAAAATGTTTGTGAGAAATGCTGCCAAGTATTTTACAGAGAAATTTAATCATCTGAAGACTTATCATACCCAAAGGGGCTCACCTAAAGATTCATCCTCTCAACTTACAATTCATCTTCTCATCTTACAATTAGTCATCCTTTTGACTTAATATTCATCCTCTCAAGTAATATTCATTTATTGAGTGGTAAAATATACTAATATATGTATTTAATAAAATACTGACTAGCATTAAAAATCATTTTTATAATTTAGTTTAAAACAAATTGTATTTGTTTCTCACAGCTCATACTGGTATTGAATGCAGCAGTACACTGCCCTACCATTTTGCCTCTGCTGGAACAACACACACTTCGTCATTATGCATATCTTCGTGATACAATGCCCCTGCTGGTTCCAGTTCTTAAGGTGAGATTTTTTATCATTGATAAGCTGTGCTGACCTTAAGTATAGTTATTATTGTGTGTGTGTGTGTTCAGTTCACTTGCTTTCACTATCCTCTCAGAAGATTTACTTTTTATTTTTTTTTATTATCACACTGGCCGATTCCCACCAAGGCAGGGTGGCCCGAAAAAGAAAAACTTTCACCATCATTCACTCCATCACTCTCTTGCCAGAAGGGTGCTTTACACTACAGTTTTTAAACTGCAACATTAACACCCCTCCTTCAGAGTGCAGGCACTGTACTTCCCATCTCCAGGACTCAAGTCCGGCCTGCCGGTTTCCCTGAATCCCTTCATAAATGTTACTTTGCTCACACTCCAACAGCACGTCAAGTATTAAAAACCATTTGTCTCCATTCACTCCTATCAAACACGCTCACGCATGCCTGCTGGAAGTCCAAGCCCCTCGCACACAAAACCTCCTTTACCCCCCTCCCTCCAACCTTTCCTAGGCCGACCCCTACCCCGCCTTCCTTCCACTACAGACTGATACACTCTTGAAGTCATTCTGTTTCGCTCCATTCTCTCTACATGTCCGAACCACCTCAACAACCCTTCCTCAGCCCTCTGGACAACAGTTTTGGTAATCCCACACCTCCTCCTAACTTCCAAACTACGAATTCTCTGCATTATATTCACACCACACATTGCCCTCAGACATGACATCTCCACTGCCTCCAGCCTTCTCCTCGCTGCAACATTCATCACCCACGCTTCACACCCATATAAGAGCGTTGGTAAAACTATACTCTCATACATTACCCTATTTGCCTCCAAGGACAAAGTTCTTTGTCTCCACAGACTCCTAAGTGCACCACTCACTCTTTTTCCCTCATCAATTCTATGATTCACCTCATCTTTCATAGACCCATCCGCTGACACGTCCACTCCCAAATATCTGAATACGTTCACCTCCTCCATACTCTCTCCCTCCAATCTGATATTCAATTTTTCATAACCTAATCTTTTTGTTATCCTCATAACCTTACTCTTTCCTGTATTCACCTTCAATTTTCTTCTTTTGCACACCCTACCAAATTCATCCACCAATCTCTGCAACTTCTCTTAGAATCTCCCAAGAGCACAGTGTCTTCAGCAAAGAGCAGCTGTGACAACTCCCACTTTGTGTGTGATTCTTTATCTTTTAACTCCACGCCTCTTGCCAAGACCCTCGCATTTACTTCTCTTACAACCCCATCTATAAATATATTAAACAACCACGGTGACATCACACATCCCTGTCTAAGGCCTACTTTTACTGGGAAAAAATTTCCCTCTTTCCTACATACTCTAACTTGAGCCTCACTATCCTCGTAAAAACTCTTCACTGCTTTCAGTAACCTACCTCCTATACCATACACTTGCAACACCTGCCACATTGCCCCCCTATCCACCCTGTCATACGCCTTTTCCAAATCCATAAATGCCACAAAGACCTCTTTAGCCTTATCTAAATACTGTTCACTTATATGTTTCACTGTAAACACCTGGTCCACACACCCCCTACCTTTCCTAAAGCCTCCTTGTTCATCTGCTATCCTATTCTCCGTCTTACTCTTAATTCTTTCAATTATAACTCTACCATACACTTTACCAGGTATACTCAACAGACTTATCCCCCTATAATTTTTGCACTCTCTTTTATCCCCTTTGCCTTTATACAAAGGAACTATGCATGCTCTCTGCCAATCCCTAGGTACCTTACCCTCTTCCATACATTTATTAAATAATTGCACCAACCACTCCAAAACTATATCCCCACCTGCTTTTAACATTTCTATCTTTATCCCATCAATCCCGGCTGCCTTACCCCCTTTCATTTTACCTACTGCCTCACGAACTTCCCCCACACTCACAACTGGCTCTTCCTCACTCCTACAAGATGTTATTCCTCCTTGCCCTATACACGAAATCACAGCTTCCCTATCTTCATAACATTTAACAATTCCTCAAAATATTCCCTCCATCTTCCCAATACCTCTAACTCTCCATTTAATAACTCTCCTCTCCTATTTTTAACTGACAAATCCATTTGTTCTCTAGGCTTTCTTAACTTGTTAATCTCACTCCAAAACTTTTTCTTATTTTCAACAAAATTTGTTGATAACATCTCACCCACTCTCTCATTTGCTCTCTTTTTACATTGCTTCACCACTCTCTTAACCTCTCTCTTTTTCTCCATATACTCTTCCCTCCTTGCATCACTTCTACTTTGTAAAAACTTCTCATATGCTAACTTTTTCTCCCTTACTACTCTCTTTACATCATCATTCCACCAATCGCTCCTCTTCCCTCCTGCACCGACTTTCCTGTAACCACAAACTTCTGCTGAACACTCTAACACTACATACATAAGAAATAATTAAAAGACAGAAAATAGGCTTGAGCATGGGAAATCCATTGAGCATATTTTGAATGAAATTATTGTTGGTTTGCAAATGAAAATGGACACCTAACTGGACAAAGTTAGTTTGTGCTGACACACAGTCAGGGTTACAAGGTAGCAAGATTTGTATTTACATGTTCTTAATGTGCACTTCAAACCAAACAAGACTAGCTGATTGCTTGGTGATGGAAGGAGAGTCAATGGGAGGAGGATATAATTATGCATTTATCTTTGGTATATTACTATATGTATGTTCATTTTGGAATAAAAATAAATAAAGAAATTAGATTTTTTTCCAATTTTGTATTGTACAGTCTAAGAAATGTGATTGAATTTTGGATTTTTTCATTTGTTTTTTCTACCAGATTCATTTCTTTTTTGTAAATGACCATTTGGTGCATGTGTGGCAAGCTCATATATTTTAGTATGTTTACATTAGCCAAGAAATGGAGATTTCAAAAGTTTCTGTTTTGCATGTTACATTGGCTTTGCTTTATGCACCATAGGTTAGGAGACCATCTATCACATGTAAGGGAGGACAGGTCATTTCCACTAGTAATTTCTTTTCCCTACAAATACTTATCTGTAGATGGTTGTAGATTTTTTTTTTTTTTTTTCAACAAGTTGGCCGTCTCCCACTGAGGCAGGGTGACCCAAAAAAGAAAGAAAATCCCCAAAAAGAAAATGCTTTCATCATCATTCAACACTTTCACCACACTCACACATAATCACTGTTTTTGCAGAGGTGCTCAGAATACAACAGCTTAGAAGCATATACGTATAAAGATACACAACATATCCCTCCAAACTGCCAATATCCCAAACCCCTCCTTTAAAGTGCAGGCATTGTACTTCCCATTTCCAGGACTCAAGTCCGACTATATGAAAATAACCGGTTTCCCTGAATCCCTTCACTAAATATTACCCTGCTCACACTCCAACAGATCGTCAGGTCCCAAGTACCATTCGTCTCCATTCACTCCTATCTAACACGCTCACACACGCTTGCTGGAAGTCCAAGCCCCTTGCCCACAAAACCTTTACCCCCTCTCTCCAACCCTTTCGAGGACGACCCCTACCTCGCCTTCCTTCCCCTATAGATTTATATGCTTTCCATGTCATTCTACTTTGATCCATTCTCTCTAAATGACCAAACCACCTCAACAACCCCTCTTCTGCCCTCTGACTAATACTTTTATTAACTCCACACCTTTTCCTAATTTCCACACTCCGAATTTTCTGCATAATATTTACACCACACATTGCCCTTAGACAGGACATCTCCACCGCTTCCAACCGTCTCCTCGCTGCTGCATTTACCACCCAAGCTTCACACCCATATAAGAGTGTTGGTACTACTATACTTTCATACATTCCCTTCTTTGCCTCCATAGATAACGTCTTTTGACTCCACATATACCTCAATGCACCACTCACCTTTTTTCCCTCATCAATTCTATGATTAACCTCATCCTTCATAAATCCATCCGCCGACACGTCAACTCCCAAGTATCTGAAAACATTCACTTCTTCCATACTCCTCCTCCCCAATTTGATATCCAATTTTTCTTTATCTAAATCATTTGATACCCTCATCACCTTACTCTTTTCTATGTTCACTTTCAACTTTCTACCTTTACACACATTCCCAAACTCATCCACTAACCTTTGCAATTTTTCTTTAGAATCTCCCATAAGCACAGTATCATCAGCAAAAAGTAACTGTGTTAATTCCCATTTTGAATTTGATCCCCCATAATTTAATCCCACCCCTCTCCCGAACACCCTAGCATTTACTTCTTTTACAACCCCATCTATAAATATATTAAACAACCATGGTGACATTACACATCCCTGTCTAAGACCTACTTTTACCGGGAAGTAGTCTCCCTCTCTTCTACACACCCTAACCTGAGCCTCACTATCCTCATAAAAACTCTTTACAGCATTTAGTAACTTACCACCTATTCCATATACTTGCAACATCTGCCACATTGCTCCCCTATCTACTCTTATGCCTTTTCTAAATCCATAAATGCAATAAAAACTTCCCTACCTTTATCTAAATACTGTTCACATATATGCTTCAATGTAAACACTTGATCTACACATCCCATACCCACTCTGAAACCTCCTTGCTCATCCGCAATCCTACATTCTGTCTTACCTCTAATTCTTTCAATTATAACCCTACCATACACTTTTCCTGGTATACTCAATAAACTTATTCCTCTATAATTTTTACAATCTCTTTTGTCCCCTTTCCCTTTATATAAAGGGACTACACATGCTCTCCGCCAATCCCTAGGTACCTTCCCCTCTTTCATACATTTATTAAACAAAAGTACCAACCACTCCAACACTATATTCCCCCCTGCTTTTAACATTTCTGTCATGATCCCATCAGTTCCAGCTGCTTTACCCCCTTTCATTCTACGTAATGCCTCGCGTACCTCCCCCACACTTACATTCTGCTCTTCTTCACTCCTAAAAGATGGTATACCTCCCTGACCAGTGCATGAAATTACCGCCTCCCTTTCTTCCTCAACATTTAAAAGTTCCTCAAAATATTCTCGCCATCTACCTAATACCTCCCTCTCCCCGTCTACTAACTCCCCTACTCTGTTTTTAACTGACAAATCCATACTTTCCCTAGGCTTTCTTAACTTATTTAACTCACTCCAAAATTTTTTCTTATTTTCATTAAAATTTCTTGACAGTGTCTCCCATTCTATCATCTGCTCTCCTTTTGCACTCTCTCACCACTCTCTTCACCTTTCTTTTACTCTCCATATACTCTGCTTTTCTTATAACACTTCTGCTTTGTAAAAACCTCTCATAAGCTAACTTTTTCTCTTATCACACCCTTTACTTCATCATTCCACCAATCACTCCTTTTTCCACCTGCCCCCACCCTCCTATAACCACAAACTTCTGCCCCACATCCTAATACTGCATTTTTAAAACTTTCCAACCCTCTTCAACCCCCGCACTAATCTTTGCACTAGCCCACCTTTCTGCCAACAGTCGCTTATATCTCCCCGATATGGTTCATAATGTACTAACAGCTGCTAATGAGGCCATGAGAGAGGAAAAACTGAAGGCATTGAGAACAGCATTGTATGGTCTGAGTGTCGACTGCAGCCTGTGGAGCCTGGAGTCTTCAAATATGTGAATACTTTCTACTGTTCCTGACTTTGACCCCCAAACACTAAGAATTTATCACTTTTGTTTTACTATATCATGCAGTACATTGCTACACACATGAATGTTCTATTCAATTTTTTATTTGTTATCCTTGTGGCTAATAATGTGGGATTCTTGCTCACCAGTCTGCAGATAATTTCTTGCATTTATTAACATTTATTAACAATTGTATATATGACTAAATGTTGCTGCTAATGAAGGCATGAAACAATAAATGATCAGAGAGCCACTGAGCTTGGGAGGCAGATTTCTCATTTAAGCACTGCTGCATGTCTCAGGCTTTTTCCTGGTCAAAATATGAGACTTAGCAATTTCCCTGTACATGTCATTTTTGTGAATATAATAATAATCAAGCTATCACACACTTTAATGGTTTTTCTGACTTCTGTTGATTATGGTCAAGGCCATTAATGTTGTGAAACACTTGACTGCTTCAGAGGGTCTTCCTGCATGGCACCCAGTGCTTTTCTTTTCATATTTTCTATTTTTACTTACATTTTACTGGTATGTGTTTGTTTTAGCAAGTGGTGTTGTACTAAAATTTTTGCCCCCACAAAATTCCACAAAAGAATGTAGTTTTATACATCTGCTAACCCTCAGCATGTTTCTATCTCTATTTTTTTTGCCATTTCTAGCATATTTACACTACTTACAAAGAAGAAGGCATAGTGTTGTGTCTAAAGACTTTACAGATATATTTTGTATCTTTGTGTTGTCAGGGTCTTCTCGTGGTGTGATCTCACACACATCTCTTCTGAGCATTTGTTTTCTTTTCAATAGGAGGAATTAATGCTTTGGACACAATGAAATTTTTTGGGCTGGAATTGTAACCTGTATGTTGGCCAGGTCTGAAGCAATATTATGGGCATTCCGGTGTTAACCCTCACCCGCTTTTGTTTCATACCTATGGAACTCCACATTCGAATCACTGTCCTTATAGTTAGTGCCCCTAGGTTTTAACAGTAAGTTGTTAAATGTAGTGGGAGTGAGGGATTCATGTCTGCAAGCCATAGTTCACAAAAGCTAAACGGGTAGCTGTTCCCATCGTGTTCTGAGGGGCAGAATTGTTTTGTGTACTCTACGCACCCATTCTCTAATGTTTTGGCCCAAATTTTGCCACTTGTGCTTCCAAATTTGCCTCATAATTCACAGTGTCTCCAAATTTGCCACAAGTGGCAAATTTGGAGGCATTGTGAATTATGAGGACTGGTAAGTCACTAACTTACTGGTATGTGACCCACAGTTGAAGGGTTGATTATTATTTTTTTTAACAGCTTCTCCTCACTTAGCAACATACCCGTTTACTGACGACTTGGACTTACGACGGACTCTGACCAGTATTCATACCTAAATAATGTATATCAGAGCTGATTTCCTCTATCCTGTTGATTACAATACAGCCTCTCCTTACTTACCAACATACTTATTTACCGACTCCTCCGACTTACAACGGGCTCTCTGACCAGTATTCATACAGTACCTAAATAATGTATATTAGAGCTGATTTCCTCTATTCTCTTTATTTCAGTATATAGTACACTACAGTATAAACATTTAAAAATATACCAGAAATGTTATAAATGGTGCAAAGGTGACATTAAAACAATATCAAAGATGGTTGACACAAACCCACTACCATTATAGTATGCTCCTCACTTAGTGACAAATTCGTTTACCGACGTGGTCTTAGGAACGGAACTCCGTTGTTAAGTGAGGCACAATACCAAGTTTTTCCAGCATTATTTAATTTTTTGTTGCACTTTCTGAAACAGGTTGCAACAAAAATTGCATTATAAGAGGCTATCCTGTACTAAATTTATTAATTTGTAAGTGCATATAATATAGATAAAGTGGTTTATACACAACCTGCATGTAGGACAAATAAACTTTATGATGACGTTTCGGTTCGACTTGGACCGTTAACCAGTCTCTGCTAAAGTGGTTTGATATAGTTACAAGAAATTTTGTCTTTACCACAGAAGACAAATTATGTAAATCCTCCTATTCAAAAGCTAGACATGTACTAGTTTTATCTTAGTTTATTATGTTCATAAAAATAGACATTTTTTTCAGCTTGGAGAAGAATGGCAGCCAAGAGGGGAAACCGTCCCTACAAATACTCTTAGATTTCTCAAAGAATCCATGGAGAAGGTTGCATATTTGGATCGGTCCTCTACACAGCTACGTCTGACTGTCTACCAGACAGTTCATTCTGATTTGGTCAAGCTTGCAGATATTGATCCAGCACTGTCACCGGCTGCTCATTTTGCTGCTTTGTATACACAGTGTATGTTGTTGTTTAGCAAGATAATGTCAACAAGAAACTGGCTCAAACCATCCTCCCTTTCTGTGCAGCAAAGTGGTGCCTTGAAAAGTAATGTTGATCAGCTTTTAAAGAATACTTTTCGATTACGCCATGCTTTCACGAACTTAAGTCCAGCAGAGGAGGCCAGTATCAGACATCTTCGAGTGCGAACTCTAGCCCTTCAGTTAGTGTACGTTGTACATGGTTCTACTGGTTCTGCTTTAGGTCTGTGTGATAATTTCTTGGAGCACACTGAAGCTCTTCACAGATATCTTACCGATGAAAAATTAAGTGCCGATTCCTTCTTGGAAGCTGTGTTTGAAGAATTGAGCCAGTTGGAAGAACCTCGTCCTGGTGCAGTTGCTCGCATTCTACAACCACTTCTCCTTACTCATCCAGTTCCAGCTCTAGCTCCTATACTTAATCCTGCACAAGTCTGCATGTGTTCTGCAGAAATTATTGAACCCCAGCCAGATTCTGATGCAATTCATAAACTAAGTGCAGGATTAGTGGTTGGAGTACCTCTTGATGCTGAAATATCTCATATCCCAGACCCATCTACATTACGTATCCGTGTAGCTTACCCAGATCACTCCACACACCTTGTAGTTCCTCCTAAAAGTCACCTTCGTTTAGTCAGTTCTGGCACCTATAGGCTTTTGACTACTGTGTTAGTGTCTGCACAGGTATCATGGTCAGAAGCTTGTCACGTGGGACTATCATTAGTGCTGGATCTCAGTGATCAGGAAGTGCTGGCTGCACGAAGACATTGTGTTGTTAAAACTGATGATTCTGCTACCATTATACAACTTGTCAAACCAGTTAAGGTTCTTGTCTGGCCCAAAGCCATTAGAAAAGGAATATAAAAACCAGTATATGAATCATTGTATGTTTAAAATTGTTCATTTTGTCATATATTCAATATTCTTTCAACAAACCAGCCGTATCCCACCGAGGCAGGGTGGCCCAAAAAGAAAAACAAAAGTTTCTCTTTTTAAATTTAGTAATTTATACAGAAGGGGTTACTAGCCCCTTGCTCCCAGCATTTTAGTCGCCTCTTACAACACGCATGGCTTACTGAGGAAGAATTCTGTTCCACTTCCCCATGGAGATAAGAAGAAATAAACAAGAACAAGAACTAGAAAGAAAATAGAAAACTCAGAGGGGTGTATGTATATATGTGCTTGTACATGTATGTGTAGTGTGACCTAAGTGTACCAACCTACTACCTAGGATATTCAATAATATTAAGTTAAAAAGAGTTTGAGGTTAGGAGATGTGTTGACAGTACTGGATTATAATGCAATGTTTTAAGGTATGAAAAACTACTGTCTGTGGAAGGTTTCATGAATTATTTAGGAATAGCAAGTTGTCAGAAGACCTTTTATGCTAGTAAATGGACTGTTATCATTTTTTTTTGCCCGGTTCGTCATCTGTACCTTGTGTGTACCTGCACTCGCTCATGGTCTCCATCAATTTTACATCCTCAGTTTCAAGTTGGCGGTCTGATAAGGAACAGTCAACATAGGGAGGTTGCAGATAGGAAGTACTTAGGTTTGTCAGCTGTTGGGTAGTTAACAGTGGAATCAACTCATCTACTAGCTCTAGAAGTAGAAGGCTGAGTGATGACTTTATAAAACACTAGAGGTATTTCTAGACTTGTATAATACTATCATGTCGCTAAGCAATGTAAGAGGTCATTTAAGTGTTATACATAAACAACAATAGTGTCCTCTTGATTCCATATCACAATTTCTGCTGTTTCAGCTAAACACGCTGAAATTTTTTTCCTCTTAAGCACAACTTAGTGCCATATCTGTCACCATCTTCTGGCTTGGAGTGGTAACAAAATCAGATAGTGTTTTCTATGTGATGCCTTCTGTACTAAATTGGGTAGTCAGCTGAAGCTTGGGGCTTGCACAGTATATGATGTAGAGAAAATACAGTAATGCAGGTCCATTACCATAATGTATGTACTGATATGATAGGTCTGTTGGCAGGTTGTTTGCCTAGATGGCTTCTCATGGGAGGTGACTTAATGCTAGTGGGGGGCTTGTGATCCAGGAAACTGAACTTCTCCTCCCTTCCTTGGGCTGAACCTAAATGCTTTCCATTCTTCAGGTGCTATATGACCCATATGGGTTTAACACTTTTCCCTGATTAAAGTAAACCACACATGCCTAGATGGTTCATGGAACTTGAACAGAATTGACTTTACCAGTCCTTTAATGTTCTTTATTTTTTGAAAGGAATTCTTGATATGTCCTTAAAAAAAAAAAATTAGATGGGGTTTTTTGAACTGTTCCATAGATGTGTAATTTCTGTGATAATATATTTTTTAAATCTCTTGATATAAATAGCTTAAAGAAACCATTTATATGAATATCTTAGAAATGTATATTTTAAGTTAGTAATTATGCATAATAAAATTTTAAACCAGTTCTATAATGTGAAATCTAACCACAAATAATTTGAGCTGAGGTACAGTTTGGTACAGCACTCAACCTGAAATTATCAACACTTAGAAGCATTCTGTTATGTAGACCTTTTATATTTACCAATATGTGATGATGTCATTGTTGAGTACGTATCATCTAGCCCAGTAATACATATATACAACATTTATCACTTTTTTGTGTGTGTGTGTTTAGGGCTGACCCTTGTGGGTTTAGTGCTTAGTTATGATTATAATAATAATTTGTTTAGGGCTGAATGAACAATATTGGTTTAGGGCTTTTGGTGAACACTGAATAATAATAATTACATTTACTGTAACTATTAAACTATGTATTACCAGAAAGTGAACTATTTCATATTCAAATTGGAGACTGCTATATGAGGCAAATAATTTTAACATGCAGGAAGAGATAAGTATTATATGTATATTAGGCAGATAACTTCAATGTCCAATAAGTGATAAGGGCTACATGAAGCAGATGACTTCAATATCCAGTAAGTGATAAGGGCTACGTGAAGCAGATGACATCAATATCTAGTAAGAGATAAGGGCTACATGAAGCAGATGACCTCAACATCCAGTAAGTGATAAGGGATACATGAAGGAGAACGTCACCTTCTAGTGAGAGAGAAGTGTTCCTTGAAGTAGCTGACTCTTCAACATCCAGTAAGAGGTAAGTAGTATATGATTCCTCATTTCTTGAATTTCAGTTCGTTCTTTGCTATACTGTACTGTACTGCAGCCTATGTATTTGGACAATTATTATTATTATTATAATAAAAAAGAAGCACTAAGCCACAAGGGCTATACAGCATGTATTTGGACAAGTGGTATACAATTTGTTCTTTGCTTTCTCCTTCAAGTCCCTTTAATTGCCAAGCAATCCTTAATTTTGTCTTTACGTATGCTACTGCTTTTATTAGTGATTTTTACTTTCCATACCTTGAATACTGATATTCCAACATGTCTAGACCTTCCCAGTCATACTCTCTTGTGTACAGATCTCTATTTATTCCTCTTCCATAGTATTGATAGAAATTGTTTCTTTGTTCTTATTCCCAGTCTTACACCCAACCTCGCTGATCCCAGTAGCAATTTAATCCTTTGGTGTCAGTCCCATAGTACTGTGCCATGAGTTCAACTCATATAAGCTGTGAGCGGTAAATTTGGGCCTAGGTATGAGAGAATGGGTCTATGCGGTAAGTGTGCACCATATAAAAAAATAATCCTGCAGCACACAGTACATGAGGAAAAAAGCTGCAACCATAGTTTTGGTTTAAATTATAATAAAAAATGAAGTGCTAAATTTTGATTTAAAACAGTGACTTTGTGGTGTATTCCCATATGATTATATTCTCAGTTTCTTGGTCCTGTTTGACCTCTTCAAGGGGGGCTCCTTGGCATGGTGAAGAGGCTCTTGGTCTGAGGAATTAGCCCTGTCGGTCTTCTTCCTCAGACCAAACCTAATTACCCCCCATTCTCCCCTCCCCTATCCCATCCTCCCCTTTTTCCATTCCTCCTCCTCCTCCCCACCCCTCCCTTTTGCCCTTCCTCTTTTTGGCCTTTGGGATTTCTCCCACAGGCGCGCTAGTTCCTAGGTAGGGGAAAGGACACCGGGGTCCATCCCATTCCGTTGAGGTTCTTGGTGGTGGCGTAGTTTGCCGTGGAATCTGGATTGCCTGGGGATGTCCTGATCCCTCTCCTGTATCCCGGAGTAGCTTTGGGTGTCTTTCGGGCGACGGGTGTATCTCTGGAAGCCACCTTTCGGATTCCGGGGGTGGTGGCCGAAGGAGGTATGCTTTGTGGCGGATATCCGGCCGCCCTCTCTTTTGTCCACCGAGGTAGCCCCGGCAGATGTGAGGTTGCTATCCCGGATTGCTGGTTTACTGGCATGAAGGGTAGGGTATGGCACGGGTTCCATGCTGCATCTGCGCTACTAGCGGGTGTTGAGGTCCTCCTTGGGCGCGGGGGGAGATTTCCGGCCCTTTCATTCCTCCTGGGAACTATTCCTCCCCGCTCCCCCCTTTTTTATTTTTTTTTTTATTTTTATTTTCTTTTCTTCTTTCTTTTTTTTTTTTCTTAAAAACAAAAAGGCAAAGGAGTAACCTAACCATGGCAGCCCTAGTCCATGAACCCACTACCCCCGGGCCCCTTCTTGATACCCCACCCCATTCTGACCCTGCCTTGTGTTTAGATCACTCTTCGGACACTCCTGATGCCCCTGTACCTCTTGCTGGTGCTGTTTCCTCACCCGCTTCAGGTACCGGGGCTTCGACTGACTCCTTCGATTTGTCTGAACTCCGCTCTCCTTTGACTATGCTTCCGGCTTCTCCCTCTACGGTACGGCAATTTTCGAATCGCCCGCCCATTTCACGCCGGACCAACTCCGGTCCTACTCCTAAACGACAACGTCAATCTCCTGATGATGCTCTTCGTTACCTTCCCATTCTACTCGGAAAAGACCGACACGTCAAGCACTCCTCTCCACGCTCAGTTTCGGACCACACAATGGACTAAATTCTTTACTTTAAGACCGACTTCTTCTTCTGCCTACCTTTCTGACCATAGTATTGGCAAAGCTCTCCTGCGTCATGTTGGTAGAGATATTTCATTTCATGCTCTCAAGAGCGGTATGCGCATCCCACGTCCGAAAAATACCCCAAACTATGACTTCTCTCCTTTCGAATATCTACT